AGTCTATTTCCACTTCTAATATTGCTCTTCAGAGGGCACAGCAAGGCATGCACAAAGTCACCTTGGGATGACAGTGGTTTTAGTAGGGTTCTCTTTGACTGTCTCTTTTCTTTCCTTGATGTCTCTGTTAAGCTATTTCCCTCTTTGCTAGCACACCCAGCTGTTAAGCTCCACTAACTTTCAGCTAATTGCACTATTATTATAAACAATGCTCAGCGACATAAATTGCTCCATAGTCTGATCCAATTAAATTTAGGCAGGGCAGTTTTTCAGTCCAGTCTTTGAGGTTTGTTCTGACCCAAGGAGGATTCTTTTTAGCTACTTCTTTCCCAGGTTCTTTCTGGTAAACTAACTGATTTAGCTTCTTGTTCTTTTAGAATGTTTATCAGCTTTATCAGCCACCTCTTAATTGTTTACCACCAAAATCTCCATTGTTTTTGAGAGTACTCTTAGGCTTGAAATTCTCCACATTCTTTTTCAAATAAGGCCATTTCTCTTGGGAAGAGCTTCAGAGCAATCTGTTCTTGTGAACTGCCTTAGATAAAATCAGTAAGCCACCTTTTCAAGTGCTGTGTAGCGGTGGTGGCCTTTGGTCTTCTTGGTTTTCCTCTCTGAATATGGATGTTCTGCCCTACCAGCAAGTTGAGGTAAGGGTGATCAGGCCTCCAATATTCTTAGCCTGCTGAATCTGGGCTACAGCTTCCATTCTATGAATGGGGGCTAGGTGGAGGAAGGGAGCCCCTGACCTTTCAGCTGCACTCCTCAGGAATTTAACCTCTGCAAGTCAGAGTTGGAAGCAAGAGAAATGATGAAGTCCTGTCCATCTTGGAGAGATACTGTGTCCCTTAACTGAGAGCTGAGGAGAAAGAGAGTCCCATACTCTAGACCACACCTACCCAGAGTGAAGTTTCCATCAAGCTGAGAAGGCGTGGGAAAAAGATCAGGTTGTGGGTAAGTGCCACAGACTCTCATTGTTTTATTTGATACTAGATTTACTTGAATAAATGTTTCATTTGCTGTTTGTCCTTAGAATATCCAGATACTTTAAATGGTTGTTTCTCTATAATTTTTACCAGATGAGGTTGATATACTGGGGCATGGGTCCAATAGAGTTCCTCATTCATGATTTGCAGAAGTAGATTTGGTGACAATCCAATTTTTAAAAATATCTTATACCTCAATTATGTTAAAATATATAGGTAATGTTAAAATACAAATATAGAGAAAATATTCCATTTATAGAAGGAAACAAAAATAGGACATTAAAAATAATTTTAAAAGAAATTGCAAAGATCTTTATGAACAAGACTAAATGATTTTACCTACGGACTTATATTTCATTTCTGAACATGAATACTCACTACTGAAAACATATTTGCTTCCTAAATTAAACTGTAAAGTTAATGAACTTTTATCTAAATTTTTGTATAGGGCCGGCCCCGTGGCTTAGTGGTTAAGCGCGTGCGCTCTGCTGCTGGCGGCCCGGGTTCGGATCCCAGGCGTGCACCGACGCACCACTTCTCCGGCCATGCTGAGGCCGTGTCCCACGTGCAGCAACTAGAAGGATGTGCAGCTATGACATACAACAATCTACTGGGGCTTTGGGGGGGAAAAATAAATAAATAAAATCTTTAAAAAAAAAAAATTTTTTTTGTATAAATATTTTTTTGGAAAACTTATTTTGTCTTGTTTTTTTTGCCTATTTTCTAATAAAAAATTTTTTGTTACTGTTAAATTTGAGAATTTTTTATATATTCTACATAGAAGCCCTTTGTTGGATATGTGGTTTGCAAACAATTTCTCCCAGTGTACAACCTGACTTTTCATTTTCTCACAGGTTCTTCTGCAGAGCAAAATTTAAAAATGTTCATGAGTACCAATTTATAAAATTTTCCTTTTATAGATTGTGCTTTTGTTGTTGAGTCTAAAAAATCTTTGCCTAACTACAGGCATATTTCCTTAATAGTAAAAATACTATCCTTAGTCTCCTTAATAGTAAAGATAGACATGCATATTTATTCATACATGGTATATTATAGTGAGTATATGTTGAATTTAAACTTAATTGTACTATTTAGGTAATTTAAGATTACTCAGCTATTAGCCAACTAAAATGAACATTATAACCAGACATTTCACATTTCTTCTAATCAAAACAAAAAGACTGTATCTGATTTCAGTTGAAAATGCTAATAGGGACATCAAATGTTGATGAAATATTTTATAACAGTTTTTCTTCCAACACTTTTGAAAGCAAGAATCAATTTCATATGTTTTATGCCTCAGGCCTCAAACTCTTCGAAGCTGTTTTAGATGAATTACCAGTAAAACTGATGGAAAAAATCATATATTACATGTCATCTATGAATCATGTTTTTTTCAAGGAGTCTCCTGAGGGATAACTCTTATAACTCTAGAATTTCAAAAACAAAATGAAAAAACTACTTCTTTAGAGAAAAGTCACTATTAAAAAAAAAGGCAACAATTCCGTTAATTAACTAAACTAATAAAAGAATACATTAATCCTCTGGTTCTAGGATGGGCCTTCCCCAGGTCAACAGTTTTGGTCCACTGTTATTACCTCATACAGCTTTTTTAGGTGATTCGATTCACTAGCATGGCCTCAACTAACTCTTGCATAATGACAAACCCCAATATCAATCGAAAGACTTATCTGTCTTCTGAGTTCCAGGCCAATTTATCCAATGACTTAGTGGATATTTGGTTATCTGAGAGGAACTTCAAATTCAGTAAGTCAAAAACTTACCCTCTTTCCTTTCAAATTATTCCTTCTCTTATTTCTCCTCTTTAACAGCAACACAATCTATTCAGTTATCCAAGCCAGAAACCTGAGTCAAACTTTCCATCTTCCCCTAAACATCCAATAAATCATCAAGTATTGTTGATTCTACTTTCTTGTTTTTTTTTTGTGAGGAAGATAAGCCCTGAGCTAACATCCATGCTAATCCTCCTCTTTTTGCTGAGGAAGACTGGCCCTGAGCTAACATCTATTGCCAATCCTCCTCTTTTTTTTTTTTTTTTCCACAAAGGCCCAGTAGATAGTTGTATGTCACAGTTGCACATCCTTCTAGGTGCTGTTATGTGGGATGCGGCCTCAGCATGGCTGGAGAAGCGGTGCGTCAGTGCGCACCCAGGATCCGAGCCTGGGCCGCCAGTAGCGGAATGCGCGCACTTAACTGCTAAGCCACAGGGCTGGCCCTGATTCTACTTTCTTAAATAATATTTCTTGAATCTGAGTTTTTTCTTCAGCCTCACTGCCACTACTTTAGCTCAGGTTTTAATTATTTTGCGCCTACATTCTTGCATTCTGGTTTCTTTCCTTATAGATGGAACCTCCTTTTCTCCACTGAGATAATTTTTCTCGCTCATCATAGAAAAACCTAAAAAAATTACCAACCTAATCATGTTACTTTTTTCTAAAAATCACATAACGGCACCCCATAGTTTTCATTATAAAATCCAAATTTCTTAACATGGCATAAAGGCCCACCGCCAGTCCTATATCTCAACAGTCTTTATTTTACACCCTGTGATCTGGTGCCATATTATCTCATATTTATGCTTTCTCAAATGCCTCTGCCTCTGTATAGAACTCCAATTTGCTGAGTTTACCTCTTGGAAAGACTTTGCTGATTATCTTTTTCAAATGGCCAAGTGCCCTTCCTATGTGTTTCATAGAATACTTTGTTCACCTTTATCACTTAACATGTATTATAATTGTAATATAAGATAGAGCACCTTTAAGATAGATGGATTTTAACTCTATATCCTTTACATAAATGCTGCTTAATTATTTATATATACATTTACAGATTACTTAAAGTTTCTAGAGTTTGATTTTTTTTCTCAGTCATTATAAAATGTATTTCAAGAAGGAATATACTCATGTTATTCTGACTCTTTAACAACACTTGATTATATTTTTGGGAAGTAATTACTGGACCTCAAACAACAATTTCAACAAGTTAACCTTTATTAATTTCCATTTTCTCTTCCAAAAAATAGGGGATCTGCATTAGACCTAAGGTTCTTCCCACCCAAACTATTTTATGAATTTATATCAAGTTGGAATGAGTCTCTTGACACTCCTGTATTTTTTGGATGCTAGAATATAATCATGGTATTAATTCCTGATGTTGACTACACAGAACACATGACATTAAAACTAATAATATATTACATAATAAAGATCACCAAGCTTAACTGATTTAAAAATAACATAAACAAATTAAGAATTATTTACTGAGATTTCAGTTTATTGAACTTAATTTTGAAAGTCTGATCAAATCAAGCTTAATGATTTCTTGAGATCTTTACTTATTGTTAACAACTTAATTGTTTATTCTTGACTCTTGCTATACAATTGTTAAATTTATTTATGGAATAGATAGTAAGTTCGGGTCTCATTAGACTGTAAGTTGGTCTTGGACAAGGGATGCATGTTATGCTGGAAGACCAATAGTCCATAGGATTTATTAAAACGTTAGAGACAGAAGAATGTAGTAATGCTGTAATTTTCAAAGAGTAAGGTCAATTTTTAATTTATTGGAGTGTAAATTTTAAATTGAAATTGGCATACCATGTTTTCAAAGTAACCAGGAAATATTTACTAGAAGATTGATACTATTTATAATTGATGAAAGCTTATAGTGAAAAGAAATTAAAACAAGATAAAAAGATAATCCAGTATGCACACTAATGCTTATATACAGTGCTTTCTTAAGTAGATTTTCAATGAATTTCATAGGAAAGGGTTCTTTTTTGATTCCCCTAATATTTGTCTTAGAAATGCATTGATAATGGTAGATGAAATCTGATAATGATTATCTGATACATATATTTTTTAATTCAAATAGGATAACTTGGAATTAAATGATGTCCTAACACACCCAAAGATTCAACAGTGTAAAGAAAAAGTAATTCTTCCCCTCCCTCCAAGATACTAAGTCTTTGTAGAGGTGAAAAATGCCATACTATACCTTGATTTCTTCTATTTCATCTGGTACTATCTTGTATGCTGATATAGTCCCACCCAACCTGAAATTAGGAGAAGAAAATATTCTCAAAACCAGCAACAGTGTATAAAAAAATATGGACTATTTCTGCCATTAGCATCAAGTGCCACCAATAACTGCCCATTACCCACCCCAATAACCATGGAGGAAAAACAACTCTTTTGTGCTTCAGTTTTCCATATATTAGTTAAAAAGAAGTAGATAATGAATGACTACTGGAAGAGAAAACATTGTTAGATTTTTAATCATAACTAAACTTCTTTTATTGATGGTCTTAATGATGCTGAAACTGCCCCTTTTACTGATGGATTCTGTTACCACTAAGATGTGTCAAGAACCAACAGCAGACAGTGTGTTCATTTTTAGTTAATAGACTTCACCTTTTAGAGTAGTTTTAGGTTCACAGAAAAACTGAGCAAAAAGTAAAGAGATTTATTTCACAGACTGCCCACCAGTTTTCCCTATTATTAACATTTTGCATTAGTGTGGTACATTTGTCACAACTGATGAATCAATATTGATTTTGCATCTTTTTAAAAATAATTTAAACAAGGAGTCAGAGAGATGTGTGTGCCCAGCACTCTCCAAAGGAAAGAGATGAGTGTTTGTAGGTTACAAATTTAATCCCTGAGATATGATCTTTGCCTGGAGGCAGTGATGTCATTACATTCATGTTCACTTATTTGAAATATTTTTTTAGAAAGCAGCTAAGATTTATGTAACACTTACCATTTACCAAGCATGTCATATATTATCTAATTTAATTCTTACAACTGTCTCCATTGTAAAAATGGGGAAATTGAGACATGAAGGGATTCAGTAATTTTCCCAAGTGAAGGAGCTAATTGAGATGTACATTAAGTGTAAATTTACGTACCAGATTTCAAATACTTAGCATAAAAAAATATTAATTTAAAAATATTGATTACATGTTAAAATAACATTGTGGACATATTGGGTTAAATAAAATATTATTCAAATTAATTTCATCTGCTTCTTTTTAGTTTTTAAAATGTGGCTACTAAATCTTTTAAATTACATATATGGCTTGCACTTGTGGCTACTATCATATCTCTATCAGGCAGGTGCTCTAAGCTCTTAAAACTCCAAGATTACCTACTTCCCTACCTTTGCTCTAACTCAGTGCTTAAAAAGGAACTTTCTGATTACTTATTTGATAAGTATCTCAATACCAGAAAAGACAGTATCATAAATAAGGGACTTATGTATTCTAGTACTTTAGGATATCTTCTGTCTCAATTGTAAATTAAGAAATGACATTCTAGTTTCCATTAAAAAATAACTTAATTCAATCAAATGATTTTTATTGAAAACTCTGCATTTAAACTCTTTAATATTACCATTTATCTTTGCTAATGGAACTAGTGTTCAGATATTTATTTGAGAATTATTTCCTAGACTTTAAAGTTCCATGACTGAATGATGAAAATACTAATGAAATTTAACTTAATTCATATTATATAGGGTATATAAGTAACATACTAAATAAGACCATAGTAATATAACTAGTAAAAGAGCAGCACTAGATGTTACTAAAATGAAAAATTATATAACTCTCTGTAACAGGTTTAAAGTAGGCATTTAAAAATTTTTTTCATTGTCAATTATTAATGTTATTCAATGAGAAGTTGAGATCGTTGGGATATCAATGAAGACAGAGCAAAGACTACTGAAGACTCTAGGACTTCAATTTATAGCACTGGAAATAATGAGTTCATCATTTTATTCATTGAGTTCTTTTCATGTAATGGATATAATCCAGGGAATGAGGATACAAAGAAGTCATAGTCTTGTAGAGGAGCAGATGAATAAACAAATATCTGTAATACAATGCACTGAAGTTTTACAATAGAACTAGGTAGAAGCTAAAAGTTTGAAATTATTTCAAAATAAAGTTTTTAAAAAGTACCTATCATTGTAAAACAGACTGGTTATAACACAAGCAGTTTAAAACAACTGTTACATAAATGGCATAGATTACAGAAATAGTTTCAATTTGTTAGTACAATAATGATTCAAAGATGTCATGATGATAATGGCTGATTTCTGAAAGAAAAATAAAAACCAAGTCGCTATGATAAATTTCAATTCAATTCTACTTCAATAAACAATTCATTTTTCTCTTCATTAATGTTGACTAATAGTCCCTCAAATATTGCCTCTGCTGGAATCCCAACCTAGGGAAGAAAAGCTTTCAGATTAGTATTCCCACATCAACTTCAAACCAATGATAATAGTTTCGACTGTGAAAAGGCAGGTAAAATATATCATTTAATATATTCCTACTTGGATTAAAATGGACATATGACATATAAACATTATGCCTATGAATAGTATGTTGATAAAACAGTAGGATAATCATATGATCATGTTAAAAACAGGAAACTTGGAGGGCCTCTGTATTATACTAAACATAGAAATGAAAAAGGAGATTAAAGCTGAAAACGCACCAGAAAACAAAATCCAGTAAAAAGCAACAATCTAGAAGTAATTAAAGGAAACATTTGAGTCATAAGCAAGTTAGTGAAAAAAGAAAAAAGTTCGAGAATAAACTTACTGCAACTCATCTATTTTTCCTATTCCCTGACTATAACCAAAGTAATGGCAACTTTACCAACTATTAATTTTGACTTTTGAACTGATTTCTGAAAATAACATTTCTATTTTCATGGCAGCATGAAACATGGCTAAATTTAAAATATCTTTAAATTTAACATACTATCAGTATTTCATAGTTAGCACACTCAAGCAGACTCATTCCAAATTTCTTGCACTTTCCATTACAACAAACTGTCCTCATTGTTGAAGAAAGAATACACTCTGGAGGTAGAGTTCTATTTTATCCTAGTCAACATATAAAGGGCCGGCCCCATGGCTTAGCGGTTAAGTACGTGCGTTCCGCTACTGGCGGCACGGGTTTGGATCTCGGGTGTGCACCAACGCACTGCTTGTCCAGCCATGCTGAGGCGGGGTCCCACATACAGCAACTAGAAGGATGTGCAACTATGACATACAACTATCTACTGGGACTTTGTGGAAAAAAAAAAAGGAGGAGGATTGGCCATAGATGTTAGCTCAGGGCCGGTCTTCCTCAGCAAAAAAAAGAGGAGGATTGGCATGGACGTTAGCTCAGGGCTCATCTTCCTCTCACACACACACACAAAAAATGTATATATATATAAATGGTATTACACTGGCAGTGATAATGGCAGTAATAGTAGCAATACTACTACTAGTAGTTTATTGAGCATTTACTACATGCCAAGCATTATGTCAGGCTTTATATGTATTTTCTCATTTAACTCTCATAACCTATAATTATGATTATGAAAAAAAAAATGAGACAAGCAATTTTTTGGAAGTCATACAACTAGGAGTGGCACAGCTGGGCATAAGAACTAAGCTCCAAAACTTGATATGCAGATTCTAAAATTGATATGGAAATTCAAGGGACACAGATTAGTCAAACAATCTTTAAAAGAAAAAAGTTGGAGGATTCCCACTTCCTGACTTCACATTACTACAAAGCTCCACTCATCAAGACTATGTGGTACTGGCATACAGATAGACATATAAAGCAATAGGATACAAATTAAAAGCCAGAAACAAATATCACATTTATGGTCAACTGGTTTCTGTTTTCCTTTTTATTTTATTGTGATAAATATATTTAACAAATTTTCATTTTAACCATTTTAAGTGTACAATTCAGTGACATTAATTACATTCACAATGATGAACAACCATCATTACTATCTATTTCCAAAACTTAGCCATCAAATAAACAGAAACTCTGTAACCATTAAGCAATAACTCCCCATTTTTCCCCTCTCCTCAGCCCCTGGTAATGCCTCACTAACTTTGTTTTTATGAATTCGACTACTCTAGGAACCTCATATAAGTGGAATCACAAAATATTTGTCCTTTCATGTCTGGCTAATTTCACTCAGCATAGTGTTTTCAAGAACGTCATTCCTTTTTATGACTGAATAATACTCCATTGTATGTATATACCACATTTTATTTATCCACTCAACTGTTAATGGACACTTAGATTGTTTCCATTTTTTAGCTATTAAGAATAATGCTGCAATGAACACTGGCATACTAATACCTGAGTCTCTCTTTTCAATTCTTTTGGGTATATAGGCATATTCTGTTTTATTTCACTTCGCTTTATTGTGCTTCAAAGATACTGCATTTTACAAGACCCTCCACCAGCAAAAAGATTACAACTCACTGAAGGTTCGATGATGGTTAGCATTTTTTAGTAATAAAGCAATTTTTAATTAAGGTATTGTAGCACCCAAAGGCGGGGTTGTCTGCCCGCTGGAAGACATGCCAACAGTCAAGAGGCAGGGAGGTAGGAGAGAAAGGACTTTATGGCTTGCTAGCAAGAGGGAAGGTGGCTGACTCATGTCCAAAAGAACCAGCTTACAGAACACAGACTACAGGCCAGTTATATAGAGGGCTGGTCTCCACGTTGGGGAGGCATCTGGTCTCAACGTGGGGGCACCCATCTGATCTCCGGGTGGAGGCACACCTTTAGTTTAAGGGTGGGGGCATCCATCTGATCTCTGGGTGGAGGCAGATATCTAGTCTTGCAGGGTGGGGGCATCCATCTGTTCTTAGTTCCTGACAGTCCTTTGTTTTACTGGATATGCATCAGAGACCAGAGCAACCCGCTATACCCTGATCTTTCAGTTGTCATTGATGATGGCTATCAGCATAGAGTTTCTGCCTGGGGGTCATCACATTCCTAAGGAACTCAAGGGAACAAAGTTATTAACTTATAGCAGCTGAGAGGGGCCATAAAATCTTCAGAGGATGTCTGGGTTAGTTAATCAGAGGTCATTCAAAGTTACAGTATGGTTTCTTTTCTACAATATGGCTTCCCTTATGTCAACCTTGTCTTAAGCTGTTATCAGTATGTACAATGTTTTTTAGACATAATGCTACTGCACGCTTAATTGACTACAGTATAGTATAAACATAACTTTT